TAATTGACAGATAATTCTAACGAACTTTTTACTAACTTAAACATGTGAAAGCTTTGGTATGAACGCTCTTAATCATCGCAAAAAGTAAAGTATACAACTTTTTGCTGCTTCGCTTTACCGCGGTCACTATCCCGTTAAGGGTCCGTTCATACTATTTAGAATGTGATTATTAAAATATCATTTTTCATGGCTTCATTATATCTATTAATTTATGTTTGTTGTTGGTGTAATTTGTTTTTGATGTTTACATCAAAAATTGATATCATATTTGCTAACTAGACAGAGATCTTTCGATTTCTTAGCTGTATTCAACAAGAAGTTCTCGGCTCATCTGAGTTTTTTTTTTAATTTACCTTTATTAAATATACTTAAGACAAATTATAGGTTAAAGTTTACAGGTACTGTTGGTACACTATTAGTATTACAGTGATAGTGCTATGAGAAATATAAAAAAATTCTTAATTTGTATATGATATTATTATTTTAATCGTTTAACGAGAAAGAATAACACCTTAGAAATTGCAGCGGATAATTGGTACTGTATTCTGTAATGCCTATAAATGACGGTTACTGTTTGGAAAAAAATAATTCTAATTTCAAATCAATTCAATAATATCTTGCAAATACGTGCAAGTTATATCGAAAGCTAATATCTCTAAATCGAAGTACTCGAGGTATATTAGACATACTAAAAGTAGAATAAAAAAGTAAACAAGCTAAGGTTAAGGTTCACAAAAACTTACCATAATGAAAACAATTTCTTTGAGTCTATTATCGGTACAAACCTATTTTCACCAACATTCTTTAAAGATCTCTGTTTGTATTTTATGTTGGGAATAGCTATTAAGTATTTCCGAATGATGTACGGCAGTCCCATTAAGTCGACCGTTTAAGAACATGTCAAAATGTTTATTTTCATATACATAGATTCAATCAATCGATTAACGGAAAACATGAACGTTACAAAAGAGAATGGTAACAAATAATAAATTGAACTATATGTATTGGTGATAGAGGTGAAATTGAAAAGCTAATGTGATCTAATGTATGAACTATAAGACGATTATTGGGTGAATGACCGACATGTAAAAAAAGACCAACTTATAAGGCCTGTCAAAGGTGACCAAGAATATTAAGACTTATTTGATTAACGAAGTGACGGCCCGTCGAAGTGCGTGTAGTTGTGTGAAAATAAATCAAGAGTCTTACCAAATTGGAATTAAAATGTCGGAAATATATTATTCGTATTTAACAGCTAACGGCGGCAGTTGGCTGCTTATATTAAACTGCTTTATAGCTGTGATTTAATGATAGTACTCATGTTTAGAAAGATGGTAAGGTTGTAACAACCCCATCATATATCTGCCTATATAAACAGGATTAAGTGAAGTACACCGCAAATGCCAATAAGCAGTAAAACCTATTCAAGTCTTAGAGGTAAATATGGAATTAAAATATCCTGGGACTCATAACGAATTTAATATTGTCTATGAACTGTTTTGTGAGTGCATAATGACTGAAGTATTTGGCAGGCGACACAGTATGCACATAAAGTTATTTAACTTTCTAACATGTATTAACACGAAGGAAAGAAAAGAATTCATGCGCCACTTTAACTTAAATAAATTGAATGTTGGTCTTATTCAATCTATGTTAGCTGAATTTAAACCAGAAATTTTTGAACATCTCTGTAAATTATTGATGCCCATTAATTCTTCTCTTTCCGCGTCTAGGGAAGGTAGATAAAGTTTTGTTTGAGAAATCAGTTCAGGGTACCTTAGGACTGATATACCTGAAGAAGGTAAAAGCCCTTAAACTGCCAACAACTCTGTTACCAATCTATACCAAAACATAAAAAAATATAATAAGAGAAATAGAAGAAGACGTGTAAACTATATAATATGATAGTAGAAGTAATGAAAATAGTAAGGTATAAGAAAAAGGTAACTCTAAAGACATATAGCTAGTCATGCGAAATTTGACATAAAACTTCCAAAGGGGTATATTAAACACAATAAACTGTATTATTTACAATATTATATACGTATATAGTATGCTACATTAGTTTCCATATGTGAAGGGATTTTCTAATAAACAGAACCTGGTTAGGTTGAGTTAGAATAAGAGAGCGGATCCTTATACATTTTTGTTTCTTTAATTTGTTCTTTATGTAAAGTTGCTATTACTACTACTCGTGTGAAGGCGCCTCCCTCAGGTGCTAATGGATTTTAGGCCGCTTTTGTTATACAGGAAGGTTTCTAAATTTGCTTACCAGATAATGGGTTTAAAAACGCTCCAAAGTACGAAACAAGTGACATTTATTTTATAAGATCCAAACTTTAATTAGCTACATAGAGAGGCTTAGACTGATGTTTAGCTTAGAGATCTCCGGATCGCGGTCAAACGTTGTCCAACTGAGACATTATTTTTTTATTTGGTGAACTTGCTAAGATGTTACGAGCATTCTAAAACCATTCCTTTATTACTCGATTATGTATACGCATGTTCGAATCTTGGATATTGTGCTTTTGTTGATCTTTGAATCTACACTTTCTTAGGTTTACATTCCAGTTCTTGATTGTTCTAGATTTATAATAGACGAGCACTAGATTAACAAATAATATTCATATATTGCCAAATACGTTCGCAATATATTCAAATTGGAACAAAGGAATTCTTGAATACCTGCACACTATTATAAACTCTATGGAATTTCACAATTTTCCGTATCAGCAGTTGCCGGGCGAGAATTTGCCCTACAGTTGAATAAATGTTTGCACAAGAAATTAATGCGGCGCTCCATTTGAGCCGTTATTATTGAAAAGCATTTAATAAAATGTATTACTTGTAATTGTTTTTTGATAATGCAGACGTTGATTTTGCAGACCATTTCAAAAGTGAAATCATCGTTGCGATCTTTTCTGTATAGCCTTTTGTTCCTTTTTTTTATGGCATAGGGGCCAATATTTTAATTTCCTTTCATTTTAGTTTATACTCATAACAGTATATTTCTTTTAAAAGGTTGGCAGTACACCTGCAATTTCTTCGGCGTTGCGAATGCTCATAAGCAGCAATAGTCACTTACCATCAGAGCCGCATGTTCGTTTGTATTATAAAAAGACTCATTGTCCTTTCCAAGCTCACATTTCAAAAGCTTTACATTTAAGCTTTACCTTTTGAGACAACTTCTACGTCTTACAAGGCTGTACTTTCAAATTAGATATTAATGATTATTTTTCGAGAAACCTTTGCAAAGAGTTGTAACTAAAGCTGCCTTAAGCAATGAAGAAGAAATAGCTTTTGTAGTACTATTGTAGGTACCTAACATTTATTTTAAAGTCGAACATAGGGTAATGTCATTAAATATTTCACGCGGAGGAATTTTCAGGTGTGTCATTATAATATTACTTATGTATTAATGTCATATACAAATTATTCAATCCATGTAATTTTTGTGTATAAGAATGTATGTCAGATTGTGAGTAAATAATGTTTCAAATATTTAAAATTGTGTTCCACAAAAAGCCGATTTCAGTTGTGTCTAAACTAGTTGTTATGATTTAAAAACTTAGTTTAGTCTTTAAATAATACACATCTGAATCGATTTTGATAAAATTTCTATGGGACCAATCTCTAAGATAGTTAATAATAATACATATTTTTTTTTATGGATGATAATGGAATGGTAACCCCCCCCCCCCCCTGCGCTATCGGTATATACTAGCGGAGCACCAGTGAGAGATGATTGGTGAGGATGAAAAAGCAGGTTAGTTAGCCCATCATGACGAATTCAACGATAAATTAGTCACGATGGTTTCAAGGGGGGAACCGCGAGGAGGTCGACGTGATAAGGTATATTGATAACGATGAGGACTAACCTCCCCAATACTAACAATCCCTTCCCCCCAAAACGACATAATTATAGGTAATGTTGCGGCCTCTTTGACAGGTTTTGTCGCTGGCCACTAAGACATTCTGCAGACAAAAATGATGGCTTGGGACAAAACAAATGACTAAAAAAAAGATCGAAAAGAAGACGGACATAATTGTGATACAGAAAATTTGCCTTTTTAATAGTTTTGACGACAAATTTTGATCCTCGACCTTCCGACCTTCGACCTTACAAGTGGTCCTTCGACCTTTCAAGAGGTCCTTCGACCTTTCAAGAGGTCCTTCGACCTTTCAAGTGGTCCTTTGACCTTTTCAGGTAATTTAAAGTCAAATAATCTATTAATAATTTATATAGATACACTATTTACGTAACGATTACCAAATTTATTTTGAAGTGATCAGTTTTGAAGAACTGGCAAAATTTAAAAAAATTGTATCAATAATAATTAATATTCATTATATTTAAACTAGAAAAAAATCTAACGGCCACGAATTGATTTTTAATAAAAATAAATATTTGCTATTTTTTTTAACATCAATTTCCTTCATTTTCATGTGACATTTGACAGTCTGCGTGTGACAGTTCCAAATTCGAAACTGTCACACGCAGCCATTTACATTACACGCACACAAGTGTATTTGTTCGTCTCGTCTCTGTGATTGCATTTCTTTATTTCTTCTCTCACACACGTACCTTATAAAGTATGTTGTTATATGAATATCAGTTAATCAATATATATAATAAAATCGTAAAAAAAAACTATACAATAGAACCCAAAACAATCATTTTTAGAATTTTTATCTGTTTGTGTATACGTTTGTGCACACTAATCTCAGAAACGGCTTAACCAATTTGAATGAGGGTTTCACTAATACGTTGCGGTTTGCTTCACTTAACATTTAGTGTTTGTTTTATTTCAATCGGTTTATAAATAAAAAAAGTTATATCAGTCTAAGGAATCACATATAAAATGCTATAAAATAATCGATCAGTTCAATTGATTGAAACCTTTTTTATTATTAGTATTGATTTTCGAAAATTCTGTCTACACGTGCGAAGCCGGGTCGGATCGCTAGTTTCATACTATGTCTACGTTTTCAAAGGATACAATTTTCAGAGCTCTATTCCTAAAGTCCACCACGGTGAACATGTTGTGTGGTTCCAGGATATCAAGTAGATGGTGCTTCACCATCTCCTGTTCGCGGCGACTTGCCTTCGCTGTTACCACATCTAGGCCTTTGTATATCTGAAACAAATAAAAAAAACGAAAATATTTTAGATTCAAATAGTTAAGGTCACATGAAAACTAAAATTAATGTGTATTAAAATTTAAAAAAAATTGTTTACGTTACAAATAAAAAAAAAGTATTTTTTTTGAGTGCGATACCGCACCTGATATTGGTTTTCAGCTCTCTATATTTTGAAGCATAAATAAATAGATAAACGCCGTTGTTTCTCAAACTGGGTATTGCTACTGTATTGTGTTGAATACTGAATATGAAAATAGCGACTTGATCAATCGTAAAAAGAATGATTTGACTAGTAATATAATTGTTCTATTTTTAAACCAATTGAATGTACTGACAGAGAACGAGAGGTTTCTTACACAGAATGAAACTAAAATATTCGAATTTAGAACACGGAATCGTTTACATTTTACTTCGCCATCATCAGGATTTTGTTTCTCAAAGAACGGCAACTTCGATCATCACAAAATTATTTATTTATATATACTTTTGCACACATTAACAAATGTCTACAGGGTGGACTTAATGCCTGATGGCATTCTCTACCAGTCAATTGTTATGCCAAACAGAGAGAGTAAATGACGGTATATTGACCTAACAAAATCAGTTTGTAAATAGAATAAATATAAAAGATAACAACAGAAATGTAACTTTATCTTTTGTTTTATATTTGAAAAAATGTAAATAATCTGATTGTATAAACTTATTTGTTAATTTACGTGTGTCATAAATGGCTCAAATAAAGTGTTTATCTATCTATCTATATATTTTTAAAATGTTGTTCAAAATTTTTAAGTTTGTAAAATAAACCTATAGCTCACTACACGTTTTGGGATACTGCAAGTGTGGTGAGTAATTTATAAATAAATAAATAAATAATATAATAAATATATAAGTCAAGGTTAATCATACAATAGTATAGAATGAAGCTTTTTATTGTTGTAATAAAAAAAATAATATAAGACTAACATGGAATGCAATTTTAATCATAACCATATTTATATAGAAACGAGGAAGAAGTCAAACTGTTGATTATGAAAATAATTATCGAAATCGGTCCTACCTTAGTGGCACAACCGCATAATACACACACAAAAGCAAATTTTTTTAAGTAACTGCTTAAATGTATGTAATATAGGAAGTCATGGGGTTGGGGGAGGAACGGATTGTTAGAAATGTGGACTACCAGTCCCATTGCTAGCAGTATACCTGACAGACCTCCACATGGTCTCCCTTGGAAACCATTGTGCTGAATTCCAGGTGTATTCATTACGATGGACTAACTGACCTGCCTTTTCATTCTCATTTATCACCTTTCACAGGTATCCCGCTAGTGTATACCGTTAGCGCAGGTAGGGTTACCATTCCATTATCATGCCTTAAAAAAAATGTAGGAAGTGATTTAAAAACTTTGAGAACCCGCACCCTAAACCAACTACGCCATGACTCATTAATATTAATGGGAAGCCACCTATAAAATGAAACAGAGTTATTCTCGTCTCAATATAATAATTATGGTAATGCAAGTAAAATGTATGAAATGTATGTAATAAGGACGAGCTCAGTATCACGTGAATAATGCCTATGGCAGGCACTTTGAATATTCATAATCGAAGGTTAAACGGTTTAGGTGGAAATATCGGGGGTTTTAAAAGCTTCAAAGGTGAAAATTGAGTGAATTAGAGCGGAAATTGGTACAGACTCGATTGACATCTGATTTTGTTAAACACCCAATTAATATGATTATAGATCAATTATCAAATACGTTTAGTGACATTGACAAATAACCAAAAACGTTTCCGAAATAAACAAGCGGGCCGTTGATGATTGCGTAACGTTTAAATTGTTATGGGACATTTGTACGTTTCCTGTTACAGTTTTGGATTTTGATACCAATAAAAGTAGTTTTTAATAGGTACAAAATTAGTATAAAACAATCATTTAAATTTTAATTATGGTTACTAAAAGATGGGAATTAATGCGTTCGTTTATGTAAACTATAATAATTTACTTATGTTATCTCGACATTTCGACCAGGTTTCACCGGTCGTGGTCATATGGAGGCCGATAATTATAATAAAAAATAAACAATATTCAACCATAAATATAGCAATGGTTGAACAAAATATATTAATTTTTTTTTTTTTTGTAATTGTTTGTATCTATAATAAATTTACTATTGGAATCTTTTGGAGGAAACAATAAAGAGTATCTGTCTATCTATTTATCTATCTATCTTTTTTTTTAACCAAAGGTTATCTGTAAAACATTGTCTTAGCTATAAGACCGCTTTTTGTACCTTATGTACATGTATTTATGTTACTGTATTTCACTTGAATTGTTCAATTGTCATTGTATATTTTTATGTATCTGGTGCAATAGAGAGTTAAATAAATAAATAATGTCAATTTTATATAAATATATACTTTTGTACATTCACTTATAATATAGGTATTAGGTTATAACAAAAATGTACAGAGTCCAGTCAATCTTGAGAACCCGAAAGGAAAAAGTTTACTTCAGCTTTATTCAACTTTATTCTAGCGATACGCGAATTTACCGTGAAGCAGTTGTATTTGCATGGCTGTGTTTCGGTTTGAAGGGTGGGATATGGCGTGAATTTACAGGGTACAAAGGAATAACATCTAAGTCCTCAGGAATGGCAACGCATGGGGGGTATCATGGGCGAAACAGTATACTCTGTTATGTCCATGGTACTGTTCATGTCTATAGGCGACGGTTACCACTTTTCATCAGGTGGGCCGTCAGCTTGTTTGCCATTCTAAGTTGTATAAATAAAAATTACAATTACGACTATTAATTATTCAATTGAGCAATTTGATTTCTAATTTGTCAGTAGTTCTCACATCTGGAAGGCGGGTTGGCCACAGCAATTAAACTTTTGTGATGTTTTAGGAGGGACGCTGCCACTTGTACCTCGACCGTTAAGCTCCCTTAGCTGCCTCTTACTACACTTACGGGGAAGGAGTGGCCCATTCTATGCCGAGACTGCACGGCATTTGTTTTCCTCTACTGAGAGGTAATAGCCAGGTAAATTATCATAGTTTAACCAAACGCTCACGTCAATTCCCGCCTTTTACAAACCAGCGGGTCTACCATAAAAAGAATGTCCGAAATTTCAAACTCAATTTCGTGTTTTTGTTTATACCAAAATCGGACCAATAAATGGAGTTTAACATTTCGTTCGTCATACATCCTGTCATAAAAGTCCAAAGTAACAATATTTTAACATTTTTGATATTTCCAAACGGCATGCATTATGTAATTTTAACATCAAATTTGTGTTTCGTTTGGCTCGGAAATTTTGGAAAACATTTCATGGTAGGCCCTCCAGCAAATCCATGCAACACAAAAGTTTAAAAATTAATAATGCAATATTTGCGAAGAAATCGTGTAATATATAATACATACAAAAAATGTAGCAGAATCAAGAAACTCCTCCTTTCCGTTTGTTTGAAAAAAACACATTATTATAACTGACAGACGGCCAGTCAGATAGACAGACAGGATAACATGACGTAATACAAGGGATCCGTTTGAAAAAATCTTTCACACGTTGATACTACCACAATAAATACGTGTTACCGCAAAATAAGTCTGTCAGTTTAACAACTGGCATTAGGGTTGCCACTTTTTATTTGAGCAAATAAAATTTATTGAATAGGTAGGAAAAAATAGACAAAACAAGATAAGTAAATTTAATATTCTTTAGGAGGATGTTAAGAAGAGATAATAAAAATTCTATTACCGGAAAAAGCAAACGATTTGGTATAATGTTTTACTTTGTGTTTTCTTTCTATAGCACTATTGCATTATACTCCATTCCCTTAACTGACTCTTATGACGTTTTGGAAATTAAACATATGTAAGGCTCGTAAGAACTGGATATTAAAAAAGAATAATCCATTATAAATATCTATTTGAATTTAGTACGGAAACCGCTTCATCATAATTTTCTTGTACCTACTAAAGTAAGTCGTGTGTAATTGAGCCAAAAATAAATTATATTGCTAAACCAAAGAACTATAGAGTCATACATCTCCATTAATATACAAACCTTCTCTTTATTAATTATCATAAATGTGAAAGTGGCTTTATTAGTTTGTTTATAACTTACTAGCTTTTATCTACGAATTGGTTCGCGTAATTAATTTTTTTATACCACAAAGGTGGCAAATAAGCATATAGCCCGTTTGACGGTAAACGGTTACTGTGACCTATGGACGGCTGCAACACTAGGGGTGTCACGTGCGCGTTGCCGCCGACCTTGAAGAAACCTTAATAATAACCCTTTTTGACAAACCCCATACCTGACACCACACTAGGGAAAATCTCGGAAGGGAGCTCATTCCACAGCCTGAGCGTTCGCAGGAGAAAATTCCTTTGAAACCGCAGAGTACGTGACCATTTAGGTTCAAGCGTGTGAGGCTGAATTCCTTGTTGATGGCAAGCGGTGCGACGATAAAAGGTGGCTGTGGACATTATTTTCAAACATCAAACAATGTTTATTGATCAGGATAAAAAGTATATATTTTTCTCCATCCCATATAGTACGTATATACTAAATTTCATAGTGATTGGTTAAGCCGTTAAGGCGCTATAAGGTAACAAACAAACCAAATCCCTTTCATATTTATAATATTAGTAAGGATTATCGTTTTAAAGTTTAATAAATTGTCATTAATTTTTATACAATATAAAAAATGGTAAAATGGTATGGTAACATCGCCTGCGCTAGTGGGATACGCTGGCGGAACACCAGTGAAGGGTGATAGATGAGAATGAAAACAGACCAGTTAGCCCATCATGATGAATTCATCAGGAATTAACCATGACAGTTTCCAGGGGGAAACGCGAGGAGGTCGACCTGGTTGGGTATATTGCTAGCAATGAGATTCTCAGTCTCCATTACTAACAATCCCTTTCCCCCCTATACACATGTATTACTGGACGGTACTTTAAATCAATCGATATAATA